TCAAATATAATGTTAAATTTGTGAGTTATGTTCATTTTTTGAATTTTTTTGCTTAAATGTCGACATTATGAATTGACTTTTTTTTTGGACTGGAATTGTTAAACAGTCCCGGTGCTCTTCATCAGCCCGCTGCTTGTTTGTGAGTGAAAACACTGTTTTCCCCCCGCAATGCGATTCTTTTCCTAATCCGTCAGACTGGTGATGGGGTGCATTGTGGATTTATGGAGGGGGGGGAGAAATTAGCATAAATTATGAGCAAATCTGCGAGTGCGTGTGTGTGGTCCTCGGCCATTGCGAACCCTCCAAGCGGAAAGGTGGCCCTGGCCAAAAGCTTGAATGGCTATAGCTCAAAATAGGCTTCCCATTTGGTTTCCACATTCATATAATTGACTTATGGATATTTTATACAGTTTTTCAACCACACCATCCTCAAGGGTTATTTGCATTTCTGAAGTACTTTTCAACATTCTTTACATAAACACAAAGGACCTGATTGCCTCATGAAGTTTGAGTTTGAACAGCATTGTTTGCATTGTGTTGATTTGTCCCCCCCTCCTCATCGTCGACTTCCTTTTACGCAGCTCTGGGCCAAATTAGCTGAGAAAAACTAATAGTTGACTCATCAGCAAACTCGCTCATGGCCATTTATTTTTGCGTGGTGTGTGTGCATTCAGTAAACACCAGCGGAGTGAGGCTAAAACAAAATAAAAGAATGCATAAAATGAATTTAATGCGCGTCCTCGCGTATGCACATATTACACACCATTGACATTCATCTTTTTATAAATTTGTTTTTTTACAGTTTAATATAAATTATTATTTTATTAATATGCAAAATATCATTTTAATGCCCGTAGATGCGATGTTTAATCGTTTTTCTTAAAAAAAAAACAAACTCCCAGGAACAGAATAAATGTAGAAAAGCCGGAGATTTAATGCATTCAATCTTATTCCCAATATTCGGCCGAAACGTAAAGTCCGCTGAAGTAAATGTTAGCGCATACCTTCACACACTGAGTGCCATCGCTGTTCAATTCCGGCTGCCGAGCCTTTTCACCCCTTTTTCTGTCTTCAAATGGAAATGATTTCCATTGGCCCAAGGTGTCCATGTAAATAGGTGTAAATGAAACCAGATTATGCCTTCCTCCCAGCCCCCTCCTCCCATGGCAATTGTCATGTGATAGCAAAGAGGTGGCACATTAATGGAGCGCCCCTACAGGGGTCTTTTCTGCTCATGTCACTACATAAAACTATCAGATGGTTAGAGGAAGGCCATGGAGGCATCCACTTAGCTCCGCCGCATCAAGGACGAGCAGGAAGAAAGTCTATTCAAGTCTGCTGGCGGGACAAGCTGACTTACTTCGCAAAAAAGACTTACAGCAGCCGTCACCCCATAAATGAGCTCCGTCCGCCCGTCTGCTCACTACGTCCTGGCTCCTTCGAGTCCCGCACTGCTCCAGCTCCGCCTGCTACTCAACTTTGCCCAACTGTTATTTTTGTTTTTGTTTTGCATGAAGAGCTGCGAGTTCACGCCGAGGATTTAGGAGGAGATTACGTTTTATTGCATTTCTTCTAAATAACTTCACATCCAGGATGCCTCGTCCGGGGAGGAACACGTACAGCGACCAGAAGCCGCCGTACTCCTACATCTCCTTGACCGCCATGGCGATCCAGAGCTGCCCGGAGAAAATGCTGCCACTCAGTGAAATTTACAAGTTCATCATGGACCGGTTCCCCTACTACAGAGAAAACACGCAGCGCTGGCAGAACTCGCTGCGACACAACCTCTCCTTCAACGACTGCTTCATCAAAATCCCGCGGCGCCCGGATCAGCCAGGTAAGGGCAGTTTCTGGGCTCTGCATCCGAGCTGCGGGGACATGTTCGAGAACGGGAGTTTCTTGAGGCGCCGCAAACGTTTCAAGGTGCTCATGTCCGACCCACTGGCACCCAGCAAGCAGTCGGATGCCGCCCATTACCTCCAGCAGCAAGCCAAGCTGAGACTGAGCGCCCTGGCCGCCAACAGCACACACCTGCCCCAGATGTCACCCTACAACCTGGGAGTGTCACAGACGTCAACCTTCAAACATCCGTTCGCCATCGAGAACATCATCGCCAGAGAGTACAAGGTCCCGGGCAGTCTGGCCTTCTCCACCATGCAGTCCATGTCAGCGGGTTACCCTCTGCACAACCAGCTGACCACAGCCTGGCCGCACATGTACAACAGCAGCGTCATAGACACGGCGGCCCCCATCTCCATGGCCGGCAGCGACTACAGCGCGTACGGCGTCCCCATCAAGTCTCTGTGCCACGGCGGACAGTCCTTACCCGCGATCCCGGTGCCCATCAAACCCACGCCGACCTCCATGGCCGGTTTCTCGGCTCTGCCCCCGCACATTCCCGCATTTCTGTCAAACTCTCCGCAGTCTTTGAGCCCGACGTCCCCACAGACAGCGACGAGCCAAAGCAGCCCCGCGACCCCGAGCGAGACTCTGACCAGCCCGTCCACACTGCAGTCGGTGGCCGTGCACTGACCACACACACAAACTGACTGATGGATGACTGACTGCTGGCTCCCACAGAGTCCCCCACCCCCGCCCAAAAAAAAAAAAAAAACCCCCCAAAGTTTATATTTTCTGTCGTCGGACAAACTATCAAGGCGAGTTGCAGTTGCATTACTACTACTACTACTACTACTACTACTACTATTATTATATATTGACTATTGTTTGTGTTACGTGTTGAATGTGCGCTTTAAGTCGTGTGTGTGTGTGCGCGCGCGTGTGTGTCACTGGAGTCCAGCACAATCGCACAGCCAAGCATTTGCTCTTGAAAATATAAATTATTATTTGATAGTTCTATTTTTCAGTTTATTGTGAAAAATGTGCGTGTTGAGAGCGGAGCCACTGAAGGATGAATCCAGGAGGGAAATAATCTGTGGACAGCGCCATTAATTCTCATCTAAAATTCCCGTGGCAATTTCATCTAACAGCAGCAAAAACTTTCTGTGTGACCAACTGTAATGTCAGTGAAATGGTTTGCTTTCACCGCCGGATTGATGGATAAGGACACACACACCAAATAGGACAAGGATGTTAAACTGTTCCTATGCCATCACTGTAAAAAAACAAACAAACAAACAAAACAAAACAAACAAAAAAGCAAATTTTTGTTTGCAAAAAAATTCAAAATCAGTATCACGAAATGTCCTCAAAAATGCAAGATGTGAATATTTGCAAATATGTCCGAAATGTTGTAAAATGCACTTTTTAGTTTTTAGATATCTATTTTCCAGAAAAAAAGTAAAAGAAAAAATGTTCTGTGAAGCATTTAATTTAAAAAGGCGTTGGTGACCCCATGTATCAGACGATGTACATTTGTACTTTTTTTCTAGGTTAAAAAAAGCATGCGTTCTGGGGAAAAAGAACAAAGTGTTGTTACTCATGTTACTCTTGTTGTTTTTATTTTATTTTAATTTTTTTGCAAGCGTGCATGCTTTGAAAAAGTGTGCAGTCTGCAGTGTTTTAGGGGCAAAAAACAAATCGTGGTCATCGAAATATTTTCTCATTAAAAGTGAATGAAAACAATCGAACACGTTTCTGAGGAGTTCGTCCACTATTAGTATTATTATTATTGATAATACGGTTTGGTTGACATGATGTTTTAATATTCCCAACATTTTTATATGACGAGTATAATTATATTACATTAAGATAGTCGTAATCGTCATATAAAAATATATTATTCATAATAATATCTGGTATACTCTGTATAACTCCGGTCGGTTTGATTCCATTTCTCCGCTCTTATAACTGTTGCAGCGCTGCTCTGATACAGAGTCGAACCCATTAGAATGCATGGAGTTCGATGCCGCGGCCACAGCGCACACAACCGGCCTCATTCATCAAACTGTGGCTTCAACACAACCCAGGCCCAACAATAAACCTGCAGTAAAGGCCCGGACACAGTGTCTCAATAATATTGCTAACAGATTCTACGCCGTTTCAACGGGTGCCGCGTTGACTTGTTTTGCGCCCTCTATTAATTTAAACCTTTATTTAATTTGATTTATTTTTCTCCCTGTTTGTCTCCATTCAGGCGCAGTGTAGCTATATCATTTCTTATTTGTTTTCAATATTTAAAACGAAGAGTAAAAAAAAACCCAACAAACTTCATCTGACTGCTCTATAGAAAGACCCCCCCCCTTTTTGAGGGGTGGGTAATAAACAAATACATTAGAATTCCGTCACTTTATGCAATCGAGTAGATCAAATAAAGGGGGCTCTCGGGCCACTTCATTCACCCCCCACCCATTCACTTGAATTGAAAGTGCAAAGAATGGCAAACTTAGACTGGGCCACCAATGTAGATTTAGCCTTTTTTCAGCAAGACAAAAAGACTGATTTTTTTCACAAACACATTGCTGACTGGGAACTAGGAAACGAGCTGGGAGACTCTTTTGGAATTTAAATCCACCCCTCCCCCACGGACTGTTTGTACAACACTGTTAGTTTTTTCTCTTTTTTCTTTTAAATTTGGATTATTTGGTTGTGTGTGTGTGTGTGTATTAATTCGAGATGGGCTGAATTATCTCACACACACTCACACACAACGTTTAATTTCACTTTGGTTGCTTTAGAAATAGAATTACAAACACGTCAACAAATTTAGACGCGTGTCATCCAGGACAGATATGTGACCGCAGTATACAAAAAACCCGAGTGCACAATAATGATTGTGTATTTTATTTGGCTCTCAGTGAAGTGAACGCTGTGTGTTTTTCTGTCTATTACACTGTTTAAATGAAAGTGGTTTGTGTAATTTACAGATAAACGCATTAAATCAAGTTGTGTGAAAAGGTCGTTATTTTATGTTCAGCCACGTGACAGAGAGTGAATTATAAAACATGACTAACGGTTAGTGGGTTTTTTTTTCACTTTTTTTTTTTTTTACCGGATGCATGATGTGGATTTCTTAACCGGAAATGCGATTTCTTTAATGTGTTGCGTTGGAACGCGCAGTTTTATTATTCTTACGGAGGCGGTCATGAAGATTCAGAGCAAGTTTGTTTTGTTACTTTAGGAAAATATAAATATTTCGTCTGAATTAAAAACATATTTGTACATATTTAGAAATCCCACGATAACATTTGTTTGAGCCATAAAACCCCCCAAAACATATATTATTATAATTATTATTATTAAAAAAGAAACCAACCATAAACATAAACCGACTTAATTTTTTTTTTCAGTTTTGGAATCTGAAGCTATTTTTTCTTACTTAATTCGTTTTGGGTAAAACTACAGAGGACAGAGTGTGCATGTAGCACAGACAGCGTTCTCAATCATCCAGCAGCATCAGTGCAAGTCAGCCTTGTCCTTGTCTTCTCAACTCTGTCCCTGTTAGACAAAGAAGAAGGTCATCTCAGGCAGGGGATGAAATATCGACCACATGCAAAACCCAATGTTGTAGTTTAATTAAAATAATTCATTAAAGCCAGGGCCCAAGGTAATTAGCATGTATAATTTATGATTTGCTTAATGCATTCAGGCAGTGGCCTCCACAATAAACTCAACTTAACCTCCAGTAGGGAAGTGATATGGACAGGCTGCTGTTATTTACTGTCTGTTTATTGTTTGGATATTTGTCAAGAGGAAGTGTTTCCATAAAACCCGGCCGTTAGCTTTCACTGCACACAAACAACTTATTTGTTTATGTGTTTATCTTGTGGATTTATGCTCAACAATAAGAGACGGTGTCAGATTAGTGGTGGGGTTGTGATACTGGGAATTGTCCACAGTTTTGTCAGTGAGTTTTTTTGTTTTTTCTTTTTAAAGAGTCTAATGTATGTTCACAGTACTCCAGTAGGTCACCAGTGTTGGAAATAGTTTTACGCTGGTTCTCGGAGCTGACAGAATGAGGACGAGGAAGGCTGGTTGCCGTCTGCCTCAGCAGGCTGTCGACGCTGACTTTCAGAAGAACCAAAATAATCAGTGATGGGCAAAAACTGCATTAATTATGCTCCGCAAATGTGCCAATCTCTGACAAGCCCGTGACATTTTCAAAACACGGCTCGTGGCTATATTTCATCATGGCCTCCATGTGCATGTAGTGTTTCTTTGTTAAACAAAAACAACAAAGTTAAACAAATATTTTCTGATGCAGTTGCGAACCTCGGTAAACAGATTTATGGTAAATAATGTAACATGTTTTGGATCTGCGTGGAGGGAAGATCTTTATTTTATTAGGCTTTGGATTAGTCAGGCAATATTAGTAATTAAAAGCTGCAACATTTAAATGTTAAAATAGCATGAATAGTCATGTTATTTTCAAAGGAGTTTGTACGATGTACAGTTACTTTTACTGTGACTTTTATATGGTAGTAAACAGATACCTCTCCTCAGGTTGTGACAAGTTCTTCTAGTGACTGGGAATGAAACGGAATTCAATTTCTGCAGCACATTTCAGCTCAGTAAAGTTCTAATTATTCTAATGAATGTTTCGTGTTCGTAAGCATAGTTTGTAAAACGTAAATACAAAAACGTTGCTATCAGATCTGACATCTATAAGAAAATGCTAAATGTCGACAGAGATTGTTTAAAAAAAAAAAGTAAATACAAATAAACACCAGAACAGAAAAAAAGCAGGAGAACAACATAGGTAAAAAATAAAATATTGCTATTTAAATAAAAATAGCCTGCTACTAAATGGCAAGAGTCAAGTCAATTTAATTTGTATAACCCAAGTTATAGTTTTTGATGTCAAATTACCACATGTACTCCAGTAAAGTGTTAAGTGCAGTACTCATTATTTCAAGTGCAATATATATTTTTTCTTGCTGCTAAATTTTACATCCAGATAAATATGTGTGTTTTTATATATAACATTTCAGGCACATTCCACATGCCATCTCTTCTTATTCATGTTACCAGGTAGGAATGCATACAGGTATGGCAGCAAGTATGTTCAGACCTGAAACCAAAGCTCTACCCCAACTCCACTGGGATCATTATAACCCACAACATGTTAATGCTTTAATGAAAGTAAAAGAAAATGTATCTTCATCCAAAGTCATCATTATATTGATATTAAAACTAATAAGTCAAAAGAGAGGAGAATTTACAAAAGTACAAGCGGTAACTTTACGTTTGAGAGAGAGAGAGAGAGATTTTACAGTTAACAAAACTACATGAATGGCTAACAAGTTAGCCAACAAAAAACAAAAATGTCTTAAAGGAAACCAAGCTAGACACCTTGGACAGGCGACAACAACAACTATAATAATAATAATATATTAAATAATAATAATCTTAGCACACATGAATGCTATTGTACAAGTCCAAACACTTGACAGTTCACCGTGTAGCCATCAGGCTACGGTGGAGTCATTCGTCATGTTTTGTATTTAACACTACATGTCGGTGTCAGAGGGCAGAGGGCAGGTATAGTGGGCAGCTGCAGGCAGAGGCAGGGGACTGCCACAGCCTTCAAGGCTGCTTCAGCCAAACACCCATGTGTGCATGAAATTAGAGTGTCAACATCTGATTCATGCTGCCGTGTGGTGACTGCGAAACAAATTATGTCAGTGGGTGGCAGCAGCGAAATTCCAC